TCTCATTGATTCTTTCTTGCCATTCATGTTTATTCGTTAATCCATCTGCATTTGTGCACCAAACCTTCAACTTCTGTTCTAATACTGTAACTGTGGTGCGGGGGTGGAACAGAGGGATCGGTGTGTGATGGTTGGTTTGGATTGTTCAGTTGCCTGGGGTGTCGTGGCTGGAGTCCTTCTGCAGGTGTTTCTGGGGGTGCGCTTGTCCTTCCATTTGATCCTGGGTTATTCTGCTCTCCTTTTTCATTTCCTCCATTTCCCTTTCGTTTTTGAACTCTCTCTTTCATTGTCTTCCTTTCGTCCTGTGTCTGTCTCGGTCGAGGTACACACTCCGGAACTCCTGCTTGCCTCTCAGCCGTGCTTTCTCCTGCAGGATCATGGTTCGGGTTGATTCTGCCTTGAAAATTACTTTGAGAGGCCGATTCCTTTCTTTGTGAACCACCCAATTCTCCGAAAATATTGCCACCTGGTCATGTCCCCCTCGCCTATCACCTTCATGATGTCTTCAATCGCTTTTTCTCCTCCTGCTTTCTTTCATCATAAGTTTCCCCTTTAGCTTCGTCTAGCCCATAGACAAACACGGATCTCTCCCTTTCCACCTCCCACTGTGACTCCCATTGCATCCTCTGATGTTGTTTTAGTTCCTTTCCGTGGAGTGTTCCTTCCTTCAGTCCCTTCCCTAGTTATGGCCCCTATGCTTCTTGGTTTATCCTTCCTGCTCACCTGCTCCTGGCCTCCACAGGTATCTGGTAAGGTCCTTGCACATGTCCTAGTTCCTTCAATGTCTTCCAACCTCTCTTTCTGTCCTAGAGTTCTCCCTGTCTTTGTTTTGGCCCATGTGGGTTTGACAGACCTCTGCATACAGTTTAGTTTCCATGCTTCCTTCGGACCTGTTGGCTGTGTTCGATGTAGCCATTGCCGATGCTACTTCTGTAATATCTTTGTCTCTGTGCTGTTTCAGATGTCTCAGCTCCTCTTCTAATCTCTCTATCTTGATTTCTGCTGCTGTGGCCTGTTGCTTCCACCTTCTGCATTCTGCTGCTAACCTCTCTTCCATCTTCCTTTCCAGCTCATCTAGTCTCCTTCCCCAGTCTTCCTCCCTTTTTTTGAGCTCTACCTCCCATTCCTCCCTCTCAGATTCGTCCTTGGAGCCCCTTGTCCTCATCCTGGTTAGGGGGAGGGAATAGATGGTTTAGGAGAGGGGATGGATGGTTGTGGGGGGGGGGTGGATGGTTATTGGAGGGTAGAGATAGTTGGGGGAGGGAGTTAGATGGTTTGGAGGAGAGAGGGGATGGATGGTTATGGGGGAGGGGGAGGATGTGTGTGTATGTGTGTGTACTCAATTGTGATTGCAGAGGTCGAGCCACAGCTCCTATGTGTGCTTGTGTGTGTATCAAAGTAAATATATGACATCACAGTATGCAAAACAACCACAGTGAGAAAATAGCGAGAGTCTGGCAGACACACAGATGATGACCAGCACTATGGTCACTGTCTTGAACACTATGTGTTTTATTGTCCACTTATTGAGGTATATAGACATAGACAGTATATTAACATATATGACATGTCAAGATCCCTTATTAACGAAAATAAGACACCAGACATATTAAACAAATTTCTTAAATTTGCTTATTATATTCAAGTGAACTGTAGATAGAGATCTAGATGTACTCCTGTTAACCCTTTTGGGGCCAAGTTCCTAGGAGTTTCGTGTATCCATATGCAGATGATACTAGGATCTACATGAGACTGCCATCTATTAAGAACACAGTTAACCCTCAAGAAGCTATAAACCAAGTTTTCTATTGTGCAACAGAAAACTTGAGGTGATGATAACTAGAACCGAGTATACTACAAACTCTAATCATGCAATAGAGCGGAAAAATAATGTGAAGGACCTGGGAGTAATAATGTCTGAGGATGTCACTTTCAAGGATCTCAACAGTACCACGATCACAACTGCAAAAAAAAAAAAAAAAAAAATGATAGGATAGATAATGAGAACGTTCTAAACAAGAAATGTCAAGCCAGTGATGATCCTTTTCAAATCACTTGTTCTCTCTAGGCTGGAATATTGGTGTACATTAACATCTCTGTTCAAAGCATACAGAGAACCTTTGCTGCATATATATGTTTTATCAAGCACCTCTGTTACTTGGAAGCACTTGACTTGTACTCACTGGAATGCAGGCGAGATAGATATATCATAATCTACATTTGGAAAATCCTAGAAGGAATGGTCCCGAATCTGCACACAGAAATCACTCCCTACGAAAGTAAAAGACTGGGCAGGCGATGCAATTAAAAATTAAAAATTGGGACGCCATTGGTGCACTAAGAGAAAATACCAGAAGCGTCCGGGGCCCAAGACTGTTCAACAGCCTCCCACCATGCATATGAGAAATTACCAATAGACCCCTGGCTGCATTCAAGAGAGAGCTGGACAGATACTTAAAGTCAGTGCCGGATCAGCTGGGCTGTTGTTCGTATGTTGAATTACGTGTGGCTAGCAGTAACAGCCTCACTGATCAGGCCCTGATCCACCAGGAAACCTGGTCGTGGACCGGGCTGCAGGGGCCTTGATCCCAGGAATACCCTCCAGGTAGACACATGACCTCACACATGACCCAACATATGACCTCACACATGACCCAACACATGATCTCACACATGACTTCACACATGACCCAACACAGGACTTCACACATGACCTCACACATGACCTAACACATGACCAACCATAACCTCACACATGACCCAACACATAACCTCACACATGACCCAACACATAACCTCACACATGACCTCACACATGACCCAAAACATGACCAACTATGACCTCACACATAACCCACAAAATGACCTCACACATGACCCAACACATGACCTCACACATGACCCAACACATGACCAACTGTGACCTCACACATGACCCAACACATGACCCAACACATGACCCAACACATGACCTCACACATGACCCAACACATGACCTCACACATGACAACTATGACCTCACACATAACCCAACACATGACCCAACACATGACCCAACACATGACCTCACACATGACCCGACACATGACCTCACACATGACCCGACACATGACCTCACACATGACCCGACACATGACCTCACACATGACCCGACACATGACCTCACACATGACCCAACACATGACCCAACACATGACCTCACACATGACCCGACACATGACCTCACACATGACCCGACACATGACCTCACACATGACCCGACACATGACCTCACACATGACCCAACACATGACCTCACACATGACCCGACAAGTTCAGTGTGGGAATGTAATGAAGATTTGGTCATGTCACATGTCAAGTAAAATTTGATAAGTGACATGTCAGTCATAGTTTAAATTCCTCACAAATTCTAGACACAAATGTGACTGTAAGTTTAGTCTCAGTTTTGCAAATTTGATATTTTACTGATAATGTTAAAAACTTGGAATTGCTGGAAGAAGATCAATGAATGAAGAATGCCTCGTCCGCTCGGCTTCAAACTTCCCCCAGCAGTGAGCTTTATTGGTGCTCACTATCACCTGTGTTATGAAATATTTTTGTTCCCATGTAATAACTAGGGAATGCCTCTTCTGATCGACTTGAAACCACAAATCTTTGTGAATCATAATTCAAAATATAATGTTATAGCTCCTGGGCTGCAAGATGCAGTTTTTTAAAACAATCTTGATGATTTGCATTTTCTTAAAATAAATAAATAAAAAAATTTCTTATTGCTTTGTAGAGAATTTAAAATAGAATATTAAGGAGAAAATAAATAAATAAAAAAGGTTTTGAGGGCGTTTTTAAATTTAAGTGAAAAACTTTCCTATTTTCAGGATTACGTTGAGTTAGGTTAAGTTAGGTTAGGTTAAGTTAAGTTAAGTTAGGTTAAGTTAGGTTAAGTTAGGTTAGGTTAAGTTAGGTTAGGTTAGGTTAAGTTAAGTTAGGTTAAGTTAGGTTAAGTTAAGTTAAGTTAGGTTAAGTTAGGTTAAGTTAGGTTAAGTTAGGTTAGGTTAAGTTAGGTTAGGTTAGGTTAAGTTAAGTTAGGTTAAGTTAGGTTAAGTTAAGTTAAGTTAAGTTAGGTTAAGTTAGGTTAGGTTAAGTTAAGTTAAGTTAGGTTAAGTTAGGTTAAGTTAAGTTAGGTTAGGTTAAGTTAGGTTCGTCAGGAAACAGGACAGATGTTTCCTGACGCGGGTCTTAGTCAGATGAGGACCCGCCATTGGAGCTTTTGGTCATCTGACCGAGGCCTTCCGCTGGCTTACCGGTCCACCCCTTTAAAAATTTAAGTCATGTAGAACCATTTTTGTAGTAATATTTTCAGGATTTTTTTTTTTATTCGCCGGTACTCCCCCGGCCCGGGTCTTTTCCAAGTAGTGGTGACCCGGCCTTGGCTCCCTATCTGGGGAGTGTCTCGAGACTTAAGTCTCCCATGGGAGGAGGTACAAGTACCCCCTCATCTTTGGGACCAAGTGTCCCCAGGCCTAGCCACAGTCCCCGCCCTCACGGGGCTCGTAGGGAGAAGCTAGGCCTCAGGTCTGCCATCTGCCCCGCCCCAAAGGGGCTCGTGGTACGTCCTAATTTTACGATATTATTGGAGGAATTGAGATATTAATTTCCATAAAGATAACTAGTAAATGTCTCTCCAGATTCGCTTCAAATCTTCACTGCTAATATCTAACTGCATAACAAATTTATGTGTGTGCACTGTGTGGGTTATGCAGTACGAGGAATAACTTTCCCGGATACAGCAGCGGCCACAGCACATATATTGATCATTGCTCCTCGCTCTCTTATTGACTGTAAACGCCGGATTTCAGGCTCTAGATGATGTTTTCCGAGATTGTTTCACTCTTCACTTTGCGTTTTCCACACGTAGGTTATACAGTGCTGAAACTCACTGGAGACTAGAGCCTCCGTCCGCTAATTCCAGGACAACATACACGCTACCTAGTGTCCCTCACCTTTATATAAATGACGCGAGATATTCCTGAGATGAGGGAGAGTAAAGGGACGCACCTCACTGCCTCACACGCTGGCAACTAAGTGAGGTGACGTGAGCAGCTTGCTGCCCAAGGCAACATACCCTCAGACCTGGGTATCTCTATCTATGTACTCTGAGAGCTGGTAGCTCTCAGTACATATACATGCTGAGAAATGTTTGAATGAAAAGATACAAGAGACATCTTTATTAGAAACATTTCGGTTCTATGACCTCGGTCACTCTAAAAGGTCATTTAGAGTGACCGAAGTCCCAAGACCGAAGTGTATCCACTTTAGATATCCTAACTAAATGCACACGTTTCCTTTCATTCATATTATCAGTGTTATTATACCCGCTGCCTTCACTTGTGAGAGGTGTGTATGTCTGTATATACTTTAAGAGTTATGTTTCTCATTGTATATACGCTAAGAGCTGTGTGTCTCTTGGTGTATATATATTAAAAAGTGTGTATGTGATTGTATATATATCAGAGGTAAATATTGCTTAGTGTATATACGCTGAGAGGTGAATATCTCTCAGTTTATATTCACCGAGAGGTATGTATCTCGGTATAAGCATACCAGAAGATGTATATATCTGTGTACATACGAAGGTAGTATACTTTCGTCCCTACTTTAGGGATTAAATTATTCTTGACTGGTGGTACAGAGGTCATACTCAGCCTTAATTTTTAAATCTAATAAACGATGAACATTGACCTCTAACATATGCACAACAATATACCCCGAAAAAAATAGTATATACTGCAGAAACTTAAAGCCAAATTAATAAAAACTTCTGTATATATAGATTAATAAAGAAATGCTCATGTAGGTAGCCATCTTTGCGAAATTATCAATGAATTTCATTAAATAAAAGTCGGCCACCAACACTTCATGAATGACAATACAAATTAATGATGAATCTCGTAATATATGGCAAGGACTAGTTGAATAGAGAAACACAACCTATGAGAATGTTGGAGCACAAATGTGGCAAGACTGCTTGTTCCACGTGGTAATGTACCCCCAGGTCTCTCTCTCTCTCTCTCTCTCTCTCTCTCTCTCTCTCTCTCTCTCTCTCTCTCTCTCTCTCTCTCTCTCTCTCTCTCTCTCTCTCTCTCTGAACCAGGATAAACAACACGAAATTATTAAAGATAACAACTCGTCATTACACATTGTATTCACTGTAGAGAAGAAAATACAGTAAAAACTTGAAGTGATAAACGTTACTTACTGTATAAAAAATTATCTGCTTCTGATATAGACTAAAATTTTGACAAGACTTTTACAATGGTTTGCCAAATTGAATCGTGTTGTCTCCCTCGTTATTTCCTTCGTCTCCTCGTCTTCAGAGAGCGTCTCTGCTAGTGGCATACTTTGTCCTTTTTGGATACTTCTTTACTTATTTTTTTTCACAGGGTTTGACGTGGTTAGGCTTAGGGTTCCTAACTTTATTTACAAGCTAGGAGCTGTTACCTACATCAGCTCATTTGAAAGCTTTGTAATTGTTAAGAGACATAAACACGGAAGAGGAGGAGGTTGGAACTATCTGTGGGCCAGTGATTTCAAGTGATCAGATGACTTAAATTCCTTTTCCTTTATTATTTCTGCCCCTCATTCTTATCATGCTCTCCTTTTGTATCTTCACTTCATCCAGTTGTAGGGCTCCTTCTTCCTCCATATCAGCCGTATTTATCTGTTATGTACTTCTTCACATGGTTTGTTGCTGCATAACGGAAACAGATTTTATGACATAAAAAGGGATATGAAAAAGACGTGGAAAAAACCCTGTCTGAAATTCTAGGACCTAGGAAACTGCCTTGGAAAAAAGTGATTAACCTAACTAAACCTAATGAACCTCTCATCCCGCCGACGGATACTGCAAACAAACTAAATGTCTTTTTCTCGACTGAAATAACAACACTAGCAATCAAAATCCCAAACTCAAACACACAACCAAAAAAACTACCTCATAGACCTATATCAAACCTACCCCTTCTATCTCAAATATTCGAAAAAAATAATACACAAGCAAGTTTACACCTATTTGTATCAAACAACATACTTAACCCCTGCCAGTTTGGATTTAGGTCAAGCAAAAGCGCAAACGATGCAATTATACATATGCTCCAGCTTCTATAATACGGTGCTGGAAAAAAAGGAAATTCCACTGGGCCTCTTCATAGACCTACGGAAAGCATTTGATACAGTGGACCACGATCTTTTGCACCTAAAACTTGAATATTACGGGGTCAGATGACATTCATTCGATTACCTATAATAATATCTTAGCAACAGACACCAGTATGTATACACAAATGGAGTTGCCTCCATCACACAACCTGTTCTTGTTGGAGTCCCCCAGGGCAGTGTACTTGGACCACTATTCTTTCTTATTTACATCAGTAACCTCCCTAATGCCTCCGAACTACTTAAACCTGTTCCTTTGCAAATGACACTACCTATATCTTCTTTCACCCAAACCAAACCGTACTTAGCAACACTGTAAATGATGAGCTGCTAAAAATATCCACTTGCATGACGGCCAACAAACTTACTCTCAACATCAACAAAACCTACGTCATACTCTTTGGAAACAGAGCTGCAAATATTCAGCTAAACATATCGATAAATGGTTCCCCCATTTCAAGACACACTGACGGAAAATTTCTAGGGCTCCACATTAACAGCTGTCTTAAATTTCAGACCCACATACAGCATATTTCAAAAAAAAAAAATCTCCGAAAGAGTAGGCATCCTCTCTAAGATACGGTACTATGTACCCCAAACGGCACTTCCTGCTCTTTACCACTCTCTCATCTACCCTTACCTCACTTATGGTATTTGTGCATGGGGTTCAACTACAGCAAATCGCCTTAAACAATTAAATAACAGAAAGCTGCTGTGAGAATGGTTACAAACTCCTGCGCCAGGCAACACACCCCACCGCTATTTAAGAGCTTGAACGTGCTTAACATACAAAATATACACTTATATTATTGTGCTTACTACATACACAGAACATTATTCTCCAATACAAACCCTCCTCTCAAACTCCTTCTTGAGAACTACAACCGAACACACTTGCATAACACAAGACACAAAACACTCTTTGAAATCCCTTGTAACCATCTCTCCCTATGCAAAAATGCAATGCATATAAAGTACCCTAAGATCTGGAATTAATTGCCTGAAAATACAAAAGGGCCCCAGCTGCCTGCACACCAATTCAAGGCTCTAAGAAATCACCTCATCTCTCAAAATTAGCAACACAAAAACTATAAAACACTACTCAAACATTACTCAAAAACTGCCATATTTTATAAGATTATTTCAAAACTAAAATGGTCTCAATATCATTATGTATAATGTGTTAAAATATTACACTGTAACTTGTTATTCAGCTACTTGTTAATTCATTTTCGTCTCTCAATCTGCGGGCTGAGAGGACGCACTTTGCGACTGCCCCTGTTGACACCTGGTGGCGGGTAGTGAACTGTGGCATATAAGATGGCGGATCAACATGGAAAGCACACAAACACAGTCTGTGTTGAACTTGTGCATGGGACTTTGAGTGGCTCTACAGTACATGTGTTGCTATCCAGCATTCTACGTGATGTATATGGCATAGCAAATGAAGAATTGTATGGCGTGTCATTGAATGGAACGTCGAGGATATTCGTCAATTCTAACAGTGCCGGCTTTTACTCCAAGATCGTTGACATTTTTCAAGAGAGGCGCATATCTGTCAATTCTGCTGTTGAGGTGTGCCTTCATGACATGTCTATATATATTACATAGGTGAAGATGAGGAATGTTCCCCTCAAAGCAACAGAGTATAATTTCCTGACTGTTTTTAACAAGTATGGGACTGTTCATGCTGCTACGATGGGTGTGTGAAGGGATGGACCTTATGAGGGGCTGCCTGAAGGCTCTTTCACCCTTAAAATGATGCTGCAACAGCCTATACCATCTTACGTCTATTTAGACAGTTACTGGACCCAGGTGTATGTTCATTATGCTGGTCAACGTCGAACGTGCCGTTTGTGCAATGCTTTTGATCATAAGGCAGCCCAGTGTCATCGGCGGCAGACTATACACAATAAGGAGTCATCTCACGTGGTGTTGTCACCGCAGCCCCTCACACCTGAGCATGGTTCCTTGGAAGTCCAGAGTGCTACGCTTTGGAGTGCTGAGGTAGATTGCGAGGAGATGGAGTCTGTGGTGTGTGTGTAACCCTCTCAACGGTGTCTGCGGAGATGCCTATGCCTCCTGTGGAGTCCCTGGTACCATCTGAGACGACACAGGACGGGTTGTTCGCGGAAGTCTTACAAGACTTCCTGGAAGGGTCAGAGTCATGTACTGATGGCTTGTTAATATGAGGTACGTTATTGGGGGAGTCAGTGCCCCAATAGAGTGATGAGGTTTTGCGTAAGGGTGTACAGGTGTATGAGATGATTGTAGACGTTCACCAGGAGGATCTGTCTAGTGATGTTATGCACGTGGAAGGATGTTCTCGTAAACAGACTGCGGGAACATCTGACATGGATGTTGTATTGACTCCCGGGCATTGCACCAGGAAGAAAACATGGGCAGATGTAACAGTGCCACCCAAATGTGGAGTTATTGGTTTGAATGTGCCACAAGGTAGTCGTGCACGGGGGGGAGGGGGGTCAGGAGGGGTCGAGTGCAAAAGAAGGACCAAATAATGTAAAAGATGGACTGGGTAAAACCCAGAGGCATAGGCAAAAGTCCCCCTTTTTGAAGCATTCAAGTGTGTAACTATTAATGTTAATGGACTTCGGGCAGAGGTGAAGCGTGCATGGGTGGAGTGTGTTTTAAGGTGTTTCAATGTGGATGTGTGTTTTATTCAGGAGCATAATTATAGGTTTGGATACGAGCTAAGGCTGAAGGGTTATCAGATGTTTGTAGGTAGTTTGGTGAGGCTCAAGGGTGGGGTGGCGGTGGCGGTGAAGGAGTCCAGCCCCTTTCGTGTCTTGGCCTGGGAGGAGGGGAGAGGGAGGGTGGTGAGGCTGGATGGG